ATGGAGTGTCGGAGCGCTGTAATGCGGGTCGACGGGTCAGAGGAGGGTCCAGATAACGACAAAAAACATAAATACATTGATTGCGACAACAATTGGAGTGTCGGAGCGCTGTAGTGCGGTCCGACGGGTCAGAGGAGGGTCTAGATAACGACAAAAACATACATAACGTTGATTGCGACAACAATTGGAGTGTCGGAGCGCTGTAATGCGGTCCGACGGGTCAGACGAGGGTCCAGATAACGACAACAACTGGAGTGTCGGAGCGCTGTAATGCGGTCCGACGGGTCAGAGGAGACTCCAGATAACGTCAAAAACATACATACATTGATTGTGGCTCTGCGAGTTCAGAGTGAAAAGTTCTTAATCCAAATTTTTGACATATTCGGCGAAAACCCGTAAAAAAAAAACAATAAAAGTTTCGTTTTTTGCTTGATTAAAATTAAAATTTTCAACTGTTAAGAGGGACATCAGTGATCACGCGATTTTGTTTTGTGAGAACCCGAACAGGGGTCGATTGAGAGGTCCGAATGAGAGGTGTCGATCGAAAATAAAGAGCGCCTTTTCAGACGCTAAGGAAACGGATTAGGTGTCTCGATTGAACAATGCAATTGTTTTTTTTTCGTAAATTTGTTAAACAATGGAAACGGATAAATTCGAGGAAAACGCGACGAGAGAGAGGAATCATATTCAGTCGCAACGTTTACCTCTCCCGCGCCCTTGATTAGGTTTCGAATTGTCACCAGGTGACAATGAAAGACCAATGGAGAGGCGACTACGGTTAAGAAATCTATAAAACCGTGCGACTCAAGGGACAAAGGTTCCTGGTGCTTAGATACGTAGTGATTCTTCTCCTGGACGTGCGTGCTCTCGATCTTTGGAAAATAAAAGAACATTTTGGAACATCGTGGAAGCATCGTTCTCTGGGTGCCTCCTAGCGATCTACAAATTCGTCAGGTCGTCCAACGAGAAGCCGCCGAAAGCCGTGATCCAAGCCCCGGGGCCTACGGAGTATTTCACCGACAGCGTCCATCCACAAGTAACGAAAACAGAATTTTTCGAACTTTATTTCGAACTTTATCCGCGCGCTTTGTGGTACCACTTCGTTCATCAAGGTATTTGTAAGAAAAACTTCTATGTTTAATAAACGGTTTTATATGGTAAACCTGTCTCAGAAAGTCATTCTGCGCCCATACGACAGAACTGTCGTATGGGCGCTCGGCTGTCGAAAAACCTCACCCTAATCGGCTGTCCTCACAGTTTCATGAACACTAGGAGTTCGTTCGTGGTTTCGAATCTTGCCATTACTGGATGGCCTCGTGGAGTTTTTTGGGTTTTTTTCACGTCTGTTAAAGCCTGTACACACTAGGCGTTTTTCAACGCGCGTTAGCTCGTCGTTCGACGAGCGTTTAGCGGAGGGTGCGCACTGGTTCGGTTTGGAAATGGATGTGGAAGTGATTGCTTGTGTGTGGCTCCTCTATCGTCGCTATAAAAGACGATGGCAGAGGCAAAGAGAATTTTGGGTGCATCCAATATTACGAGATAGACTGACGCATGAAATGTTTGCGACGTTGTATCCAAAACTAAGACAAAATAAATTCAAGTTTTTTAATTCTTTTAAAATATCTATAAAATCCTTTGACGATGGTTGGTCTCTTTTAGATTTCATCAATAAATAGATCAGTATCGAAATGATCGTTCTCCATTTCAGCACATATATCTCAAAGCGCTCGGCTGACGCCCGCAAAACGCGCGATTGCATGTACGGTAACATGGCAGCGCATATATCTCAAAGCGCCCGTAAAGCGCTCGCAAAACGCGCGTTTTAACAAAAATCTATAAACGTGCGTTGAAAAACGCCTAGTGTGTACACAGCCTTACGCCTAAATAGGGTTTTGTTTTTTTTTGGAAAGACTTACCGAAACATATCTCCGCTACGCAGATCGCCCAAGTGTTGCGTTGCCGTAACTAAACAAACAAATATTACAGTTTATAATATTGGTTTGAATATTTTATAGTGTTAAAGATTTGTATTATAACATGTATTTTGGATTTCACATATTTTCAATAAAGGACATCCTGCAACCAGAATATCAATTTTTATTTTTGAAACCTTACTTTTATTTTATTTTTATTCTCTAAATTGTCTTTGTCTTTTATTCAAACGGGACAGGACACAATTTGTTCTTTATTTTAAGTTTTTAATAAATGTATTTAGTAATGGCAGTAACGTATGTTTATTCTCCTTTTTAAAAAGTTTTGGTTTACAATTTTAGTATTTCAAATTTTAAATGAAATTAAAATACAAAAATATTTATGGTCATTGTAAAATCTAAAACTTTTAACTCAAAATTTAAAACGTATAATGTTTAAACACCTGTAGCTCCCTAGATTCTCCTTTGAAAGCAACCAACTTCAAAAATTCACCTCTGATAAAACGTTTGAGATATTCTCCTATCAAAAATATCATTAGCAAGGTTGCTGCCGAAGTTTTCATCTCTAAAACGTGAACGTCGAACGTCGAGCGCCACTTACTTAAGCGGCGCTCGACGTTCGACGTTTACGTTTTACAGATGAAAACTTCGGCCGCAACCTCGCTATTTTCAGAGATCTTAAAATATATCATTTGAATTGGATCGATACAATAAGGCAACACGATCTACCAAAGGAGGATGCTTTCCTGGCGGACTTTCAATAAGAAAATGGCCATTTTCTTATTGAAAGTCCATGTTACACGTGGAAAAAATCGTTAATTACCTAAATATGAAGTCTATATACTACACAAAGATTTTATTAGCCTATTAATAGTAAAATAAATTAAATACCAGATACGTTTTTATTGACTAATTTTTACATTTTGAAGACTTTAAACATTATAAATTAATATATTATCATTCTTCCTCGTAAATTTCGAGACGGATCTGTGTCATCACTTCGAAGACTAAAACCGTATACTTTAAGAACACGGTCATTACTCTGTGACGTCATTATGGAGCAACCAGTTCTGAAAACGGTGTAAATTCTCGAACGTATTATAACTGTCACTTTCTTTATGTCCAGTTCGTTGCAATGGAACGAAAATAAAACACAAAGGAATGGATAATTTAGGTATGTTATTGAACTATATTATTTTAAAATATATAAGAAATATAAACGTTTAACATTAAAGGTTGAAGTGACTTGACCTTTAGAGTTAGCTTCATTCAATCACACTCTTAACCATTTGACATTTGGAAAGAAAAACCTTTGGCATCTTAAAACTAACCTTTCTTCCTCAACAAAAGCGAAATGGATAGATATAGAATGAAGGTTAGAGGTAATATTTTACAGTAAATAAGAATAAACCACAATCTTTATATTATATACTAATATAATAAGTTAAATATATATAAATTAAATATAGCAAATAGCAAAATGAACATTTAAATACTTGGAAAAGGTCAAATGACATATGACAAAAAGTAAAGAGATAAAAAGAAATTGTATAGGTTGTAAAATTTTAATTCATTTCCCAATTGCTTTAACCATATATAAAGTAATATATATATATTAGTTTTATAGACTTGATAATTATTATAAGTAGATATAGTTAGTGTAATATGTCAACTATTACTTCTGAATTTAACAACTTTTTTACAGGTTTTAATTATTTACAGATTGTTGGAAGGAAGTAGTAAAGTCTACTTATCAAATGTAATGTTCTATGTTAACTTTATGAGCGCCACATTAATTAAAGTTTGATCTAATAGTTAGAATTTACCGAAATTACAGATGAAATTTGCTTAATAGGGAAAAAAAACGAGCTAAGAAAATAAATAGACTTGCATACAGCTGAAATGTTTGACATGTATATAATTATGTAATATAATGAATGAAGATAAAATATTTTCGTTTATGTTTAAAAGAAATGAAATTAGTATTAACATTATAGATCAAAGGAAAAATTGAAAATTTTTAAAACAATCTATATCATTGAAAATTATATATTAAAAAGGATTCAAATGATTTTAATACATAACATGCAACAAAGTATTCATCTGAATCATTAAAAAAGAACTAATTAACGTGATTAATTGTTAAATCACTTTACTACATCTTTTATTTTTAAATTTGTCTATTTTTTCATTTATATTTCTATGACGTAGAACTTTATTGATATATGTAATATATTACATATCTACAATAATTATATATTAATTTTCAAAAAATTTATTTAGATAAAATACAGTTTGGTTCACCTTTGACTTCTTCCGAAGGCCCGGGAGTACCCACAAATGGTGAAGCTCTTACTTCCAGCTTTGGAACGCAAAGCAATTTAAAAAGACGTAGAACGGATGAATATGAAGAAATGGGAATGTATCCTACCAATAAATTAGGAAATATTATCTACTCTGAACCTAGAGGATATGCCTCAAGTATATATGAATAATTTAAATATAATAAATCATACACATATTTTAAATGCATTTTTTTTTTTTTTGGATAGTGAAAACTTTTCTTATGATTCGACATAATCCATTTGTGTACCACACTGAAGATTGGAAGCCAAGAGGCTGTACAATGTACTTACCTTTGACAGAAGATATTATGATCAACAGTCGAAATATAGAACAGATTAGTTTTGAAACCGATCAATTTTTTCTTGCTGATGAAAAGGGAAATTATATGGGAGCTAAACCAGGTATATAAATGATTTTATTTATTGCAGTTCTAATATAAAAACTTTATTTCTTTATTAATATTTATCCTTTATTAGGAAATGCTATTCATCTATGGAGATTTGATCCAAGTACAAGAAAGTTATATATTTCCAGATCAGTACTCTTCCTAAAGGAACAGGTATTTTATAAGTTATTTATAGAAAAATTTGTTCAATTATTTATGTTAAAAATTATTTATACATAGTTTGTATTAATTTTCTGTATTAAAATGTTTCTTAGGATTATAGAGAAGTTCAAATACAGTTAGAAGCTCTCTAATTACATCTGAAATTTTCCAAAGTTCAAGAATTTGAAACATTTGCCTACATTAGGCATTTTTATGTTTATACTGCATGTCATAAGCTTTGTCTTCCGTAAGATGTTGTACTTAAATGTAGACATAATGTAAACTGGTACATGTTGGGACCACAAAAAAGCATTTTATATATAATTTGCTAGTCTGTCACTTTTACTGTAATTTCTGAATTAGTTTTTATATTGCTTAAGCTGTGAAGTGTAATTGCAAATTAGATTTTAAATTGACAGAAAAGTTTTACTTTAATTATTATATATAATGATATTAATTGAGTTTTAAGGATTTATATAAAATCTAATTAACACCTTTTTAGACCAATGGCATAAAATATAAAAGTTTTGTAATTGTTTTATTCTGAATATTAGACAATATACTGGTATAAGAATAAATAATAGTAAATATTTTGTTTATCATATCACAGTGTGATAATTATACATTAGTTTATAATTATAAGCATCCTACATAGGATTTTTTTATTAATTACAAATAATAGATATATTATGAATATTTTGTATTATTATTTATTTTCATCTGATAACCTTCCATTTATTCTTGCTATTTATATTATTAATATAATTCTGTCAATATATTGCCTCAATACAAGATTAATCAATGCTGACATTCCATTATATTGAAATATGAGAGTGTAAGACAATAAATTGACAAATTGGTGTTAATTAGATTCTTTATACCATATCTTATTACCATTATTTATAATAATAAAAAAATTATTATAATTCATTTTAAATCTAATGATTGCTGTTAAGATACATTTTGCTTTACATGTTATATGAAGTAATTGTCTTTTTATAAAACTTATGAAAACACATACCATCATAAATCATAATCATTTACCAGGAAAGAAAAGCAGAAATTGAATTTTAATTAAAAAACAGTAAAATTAATGCCTGTTTGTACAATAATCTTTCTAAATAACTTGTTGATCTTTTCCCTAAACTATAGAAATTTCATAAGAATTAAATATTACTTATTTATTAATAATAGAACCGTCCAACATTATATCAAGATTATTTCAAATGACTATAATAGATCTTAGAATTATCGATGGTATGTGTAATTAATAAATATTAAAATTATTTATATTTTAATTGAATTGTTTTAAAAATTTAAGTGGTTAAATGTACTGTTAAAGTATATATTGTACTTATTGTCATTTTGCTGGTTGTATCATAGAAGAAAGTGTGAAATGCAACTGATGCTTAAGATAGGCATCTAGAAATTGGAAATTCTTATACTCATTAAAAACGCACAAACAGATGTACCTGTATATTCAAATTAATTCATTGAATCTCAGATCAGTGTGTATTTATTTATTTGTTTTAACCTCATCTTCATTGCTCAAATTATACTGTAGTAGATAAACCAAATTAGTTTTTAATATTTTTATATTAGTGCCATGTTTTTAGTCTGTTTTTGTTTTGTTTTGTTTTTTTTTTGTTCTGTAGAAAATTATAAAAGTTTACTATTGAGATTAAAAAAAAAATTATTACATGTTATATGTACTTTTTTTATGCATATCTGAAATTAATGTCTTAAACTCTAAAGCATAAAGTAAAGAAAAAAAAGAATTTTTTTTTGTTTTCATTTCTTAGCTTTCTCTTTCTAATTATATTATTGTTTTGGATGTCGTTTCTTCACTAATAAAGTTCAGCTTGTAATTTTTTGTTTATATTTCTTTATAAATTTGAATGTCAATGTTTCCTGTATATTATTAACTCTGATGTTTAATAAGAGATAAAGGAACAAAACACTGACTTTATTAATGAAGAAATATCCAAAACAATAATATAGTTAAGAGAAAAAAAATACAAAAATAATAATAATGAAAATTTAGGTAAAAAAAATGCATAAGGTTTTTATTTTATATCTGATGTATGTGTATAAGCATTTTAATGGTCTTTATATCTTTGAATTTTTAGTATACTGCTGTTAATACTTTTATCATTAAATATAACAATTGTTTTACTTGATGTCATTGTTTTAAAGTGGTAATTGTACTGTAAGTGAATATATAACAGAAATTTCATAAATCTGGTTTAATAAATTTTGATGACAGAAATTACAGTAAAAGCTTAAACTTTAATATATAATTAATGTTGCAATGCAATGTCAATGTTAGATGAACTGCACTCTAAGCAACATAAATATGCTCACTGTTGCCTTTTATGAAATTTCTAGTTTTCGACTGAAGATATTGTAACTAAGAATAATATTCTTATTAATGGAGATAATAATTGTGATGAGAAGTACCTGATATATTTTGCATGGAAAAATTTTAAATAAAGGTACATGGCCTCAATGGCTCATCTTAAGGCTTCCATTTAAAAATAGTTTCCTCCAGATGTGGATGGATGTCATCAAAGTTTTTAATGGTAATATTGAATTTCATTTTTATAGAAAGCATTTCTTTTCCTCTATCAAATACTCAAAGAAAATGCTTATGCACAGTTTCTAACCAAATGCACTTGTAATTTTGGTATTATGTATGATGACTAAAAAATAATAATCATTTATTTCTGAGTATAATGTTTACATTCTTTAATTTTTAAAAAGTTTTCTAAGATTTTAGAAAAACTTAACAGTTGTTTTTATTGCATTGAAATAAAATATACAGTACAAAAATGTTTTTTTGTTTCAATTTCTCTCATATAATCTAATATTGTGACATAAACACAAAAATATATATAATTAATTTCAAACACTAATTTTACTTTGAAACACAAATTTAATAACTAATAAATCAGAGATTGATTCTGTAAATTTCTAGAAATAAGTTGGTATGTATAAATTTCTTTACTGGATTGCATATAGAATATTGCATCGTGAAAGCATTGATTTCTTAATTATCTCCAAATAATATAACCTTGGTGTATAAATCCATGCATGCCATGAAATTGATATTTATTCTATTCTATTATGGTATATTATGTAATATAAAAATATCTATTGTATTTCATGAATTCTGAGAATTTTTATCCATTTTACTCATCCAAAATAAAAATGCATTATTATCAATAACATCTTTTCAGTTCCAAAATAAGAATCAGCAATAATTATAAGCAGAGACAAGGTGCATTAAGCACCCAATAATAAATTTGGGTAATACTGCTCTTTTTCAATGTTTTAAATGACATTATTGTACAGCATAAATAGAAAAGTTATTGTACATGCAGAACTTAGAACAAATAAAAATAGAACTGCTGAAAACTACCTAACTTATTTAACAAACTTTAAATTTTTAAATAATCAAGTTTCTCACCATANTTAATTAGATTCTTTATACCATATCTTATTACCATTATTTATAATAATAAAAAAATTATTATAATTCATTTTAAATCTAATGATTGCTGTTAAGATACATTTTGCTTTACATGTTATATGAAGTAATTGTCTTTTTATAAAACTTATGAAAACACATACCATCATAAATCATAATCATTTACCAGGAAAGAAAAGCAGAAATTGAATTTTAATTAAAAAACAGTAAAATTAATGCCTGTTTGTACAATAATCTTTCTAAATAACTTGTTGATCTTTTCCCTAAACTATAGAAATTTCATAAGAATTAAATATTACTTATTTATTAATAATAGAACCGTCCAACATTATATCAAGATTATTTCAAATGACTATAATAGATCTTAGAATTATCGATGGTATGTGTAATTAATAAATATTAAAATTATTTATATTTTAATTGAATTGTTTTAAAAATTTAAGTGGTTAAATGTACTGTTAAAGTATATATTGTACTTATTGTCATTTTGCTGGTTGTATCATAGAAGAAAGTGTGAAATGCAAACTGATGCTTAAGATAGGCATCTAGAAATTGGAAATTCTTATACTCATTAAAAACGCACAAACAGATGTACCTGTATATTCAAATTAATTCATTGAATCTCAGATCAGTGTGTATTTATTTATTTGTTTTAACCTCATCTTCATTGCTCAAATTATACTGTAGTAGATAAACCAAATTAGTTTTCAATATTTTTATATTAGTGCCATGTTTTTAGTCTTTGTTTTTGTTTTGTTTTGTTTTTTTTTTTGTTCTGTAGAAAATTATAAAAGTTTACTATTGAGATTAAAAAAAAAATTATTACATGTTATATGTACTTTTTTTATGCATATCTGAAATTAATGTCTTAAACTCTAAAGCATAAAGTAAAGAAAAAAAAGAATTTTTTTTTGTTTTCATTTCTTAGCTTTCTCTTTCTAATTATATTATTGTTTTGGATGTCGTTTCTTCACTAATAAAGTTCAGCTTGTAATTTTTTGTTTATATTTCTTTATAAATTTGAATGTCAATGTTTCCTGTATATTATTAACTCTGATGTTTAATAAGAGATAAAGGAACAAAACACTGACTTTATTAATGAAGAAATATCCAAAACAATAATATAGTTAAGAGAAAAAAAATACAAAAATAATAATAATGAAAATTTAGGTAAAAAAAATGCATAAGGTTTTTATTTTATATCTGATGTATGTGTATAAGCATTTTAATGGTCTTTATATCTTTGAATTTTTAGTATACTGCTGTTAATACTTTTATCATTAAATATAACAATTGTTTTACTTGATGTCATTGTTTTAAAGTGGTAATTGTACTGTAAGTGAATATATAACAGAAATTTCATAAATCTGGTTTAATAAATTTTGATGACAGAAATTACAGTAAAAGCTTAAACTTTAATATATAATTAATGTTGCAATGCAATGTCAATGTTAGATGAACTGCACTCTAAGCAACATAAATATGCTCACTGTTGCCTTTTATGAAATTTCTAGTTTTCGACTGAAGATATTGTAACTAAGAATAATATTCTTATTAATGGAGATAATAATTGTGATGAGAAGTACCTGATATATTTTGCATGGAAAAATTTTAAATAAAGGTACATGGCCTCAATGGCTCATCTTAAGGCTTCCATTTAAAAATAGTTTCCTCCAGATGTGGATGGATGTCATCAAAGTTTTTAATGGTAATATTGAATTTCATTTTTATAGAAAGCATTTCTTTTCCTCTATCAAATACTCAAAGAAAATGCTTATGCACAGTTTCTAACCAAATGCACTTGTAATTTTGGTATTATGTATGATGACTAAAAAATAATAATCATTTATTTCTGAGTATAATGTTTACATTCTTTAATTTTTAAAAAGTTTTCTAAGATTTTAGAAAAACTTAACAGTTGTTTTTATTGCATTGAAATAAAATATACAGTACAAAAATGTTTTTTTGTTTCAATTTCTCTCATATAATCTAATATTGTGACATAAACACAAAAATATATATAATTAATTTCAAACACTAATTTTACTTTGAAACACAAATTTAATAACTAATAAATCAGAGATTGATTCTGTAAATTTCTAGAAATAAGTTGGTATGTATAAATTTCTTTACTGGATTGCATATAGAATATTGCATCGTGAAAGCATTGATTTCTTAATTATCTCCAAACAATATAACCTTGGTGTATAAATCCATGCATGCCATGAAATTGATATTTATTCTATTCTATTATGGTATATTATGTAATATAAAAATATCTATTGTATTTCATGAATTCTGAGAATTTTTATCCATTTTACTCATCCAAAATAAAAATGCATTATCATCAATAACATCTTTTCAATCCAAAAATAAGAATCAGCAATAATTATAAGCAGAGACAAGGTGCATTAAGCACCCAATAAATTTGGGTAATACTGCTCTTTTTCAATGTTTTAAATGACATTATTGTACAGCATAAATAGAAAAGTTATTGTACATGCAGAACTTAGAACAAATAAAAATAGAACTGCTGAAAACTACCTAACTTATTTAACAAACTTTAAATTTTTAAATAATCAAGTTTCTCACCATAAAAATTATTATTATTATTTTTTTTAATTTCAGTATTCTTGAATTGATGGCATCTTGAAACCAAAGAAATGCAGTAAATCTATATTGGAATTTTTTTTGTTCATGTTAACAAATTCATAATTTATGTAAATTGATTGAATTATGAATCAAACTAAAAATCAGTATTCAATCTTTTCATTAATAAAAAATTTATTTTAAAAATATTTTTGGTGAATTTAATTCAATGCACATATTTGTATATCTTGTTCTTATAATAAAATCTTTCATTAATTTTTATACTAAATCTCTAATAATGTTCAAAGAAAAACTTTTATTGATACGCTACCAGACAATTATCAATCAGATCTGAATAACAGAAGTTTAAATGTTTTCTTTAGGTATACAATAAATATCAGCTTTGTTTCCTATGATCTATATTTTAAATATTTGTTATTTTAGAGAATATGCTTTCTGAAAAATTCTAATTTCAAATAAATCCAAAACTTTTGAGATTTTTAAAGTGGAATGTATTCATATTTAATGAATTTTGATTAAATGTTTACTATTAAAACACTCAAAAATTTATATCTAACTATACAGTTTTGTTTTCATATAGAATATTAGACAAATAATTTATTAGTTTGTACAGTTGAACAAATAAATCTGTGATGTTACAGTTGAACAAATAAATCAGTGATGTAGCCCATATGATAATTTTAAGTTACCAACATTGATTATTTAGAAAGTATTTGGTTTTATAAATTATAAAAAAATATTTGATAGCTTTCTAAACTTTGCAATGGCTGGAGTTGTAAATCTGTTGTAAAAAGTCTTAAAGGTCACTAATCCTAAACCTAAAATAGAAAAGTAGATCTAATCATCTCTTTCTGATTATTTTTCTTCCAATTTCATCTCTCTTAATATACAACAAAACCTACAATTACCTATTGTCTTTACATTTCCTAATCACTGCAATATTTTTTTCTATTCTGTTTTGCAGACTCTTTTTGAAATCTCTAATACCTATCTTCAATGTATACCATATGCAAGTATGGATGCATGGCTGTGAATGTAGATATTATCGATATATATACTACTATTTCATGGTTTTTATTATATTTCTGCTTCATGTCAAGTCTATTGTAAAAATTTCCCACTTTATTGTATTCTTTTGCTAAATTTTTTTTTTTGTATATTCTGTTATCAGAAAATTAACATAAACTATGCTTTATTTGAATATCTAAATTCTGACGTGTATTCATGGAACATACAGTAGTTTGAATGAGAGCAAAAGTTTGTGTTGAAATTTTTATTCAATCAAATTTCTTCTAGAAACTAAACTACCTTATGTTTCTTTTCTTCATATTGCTCCATTCCTTTTTAACTATTTCTTATAGAAATAGTTAAAATATTCATCCATTTTTGACTTTGTTCTAAATATCAGAATTGCATTCCATAATTATGCCATAGAATGTGTGTATGGTATACCCCAAGATGGACTCTTCTAAGATCCAAAGTACTTAGGTCTGTAAGAAATATATTTAAATGAACTAGATAATCCAATAAAGCAGGGATTAGTGTTAACTTTAAAATGTTTGCTTTTAATTATCTTGTTACCTTTAATAATCATACCTCCTATATTTTTTCTGCTATTGTTTATAAATTATATCAATCACTTCTTTGTCATCTTATTATTCACACTAAATGTTCACTTAATTTCAGACAATAGTAATGATAATAAACTTACTGTAATAAAAGGTAAATTTTGTTAGTCTATCTCAATTTATAAATTAGCACAAAAAAAATACAAACTTAATTTCATATACTCTAAATTTTTTTTTAATCCATTCATTTACACCGTTCTTTGCTATTATTATATCATCATATATCATTAAATGATCTGCAATCATCATTTAATATAGATAACAAAGTAGACTAGAATAAAATGATTTATTTTAGAACAGGATTGTTCAAGTTTTAATTAATACTGTTAACATTTCTGCCTATGTATTTTCTATTGTACTCATAACAGTTATTAACAAATGGCACAATATATCAAATGGTGTATCTACTGTGCATTACTTGTTAAGATATGTAACATGCTTTTTGCTAGGTTAACAATTGCATAATAATGATCTGTAAATAAGAAATCTACAAACAACTCTATCTCCGCTTCATATCTATTTAAACAGGAATTGTGTCCGAAAAGTTCTCTCTCACATTAATAAGCAATTTCATTCTCTCTCCATTTCCAGAATACTGTTTAAAGGAATATCTCATTTATTGACAAAATGAACATATCTTGATAATGTATGAAGAATGTTAATATTATGTTATTACACAAGCAAATGAATTTGTGATTCACATTAAAATGAAAGTTTGTTAGCATATAAAGCAAATCAGGTATTAAATATGCCAATGTAGACATTTTTGATTTAATAATTATATTACTATGAAATTATGATGACACTATCATTTTTCATTAAATATATTAGAATAGAGAGGTTGTGGCTGAAGTTTTAATCTCTAAAATGTGAACGTCAAACATCGCCATCCTGTAAACCTAGAACTTTGACAATGGCATTTGAAATGTCAAACATGATTCCAATGACGTTCCATTGTCAAACTTCTAGGCTTACAGGATGGCGGCTCAACGTTCACATTTTAGAGATGAAAACTTCGGCTGCAACCTCTCTAATAACTTTTTATTGGGGAAAAAACTAAATTCATCAAGTTAATGTTTTATTTTTATCATAATATTGTTAGGTATAATTTTCAATATAACTCTGATGGCATTAATATTTTAAAATAAATACCAGTACAGTAGTACTGAAATAATTGTATACATTATATGATGTACTTTTAATATAAAATGCTATAAAACATTCTTACTCCAAACAAATATATTCAAACTTAAGAAACTGGTTGAATGAGAAAAAAATTCATAATACTAAGAAATATTATGCTTGAAAAAATTAATTTTCTATTAATGTTATTCTATAAAAGTCAGAACTCTAGATATGTTAAAAATTTGTAATTGCTTGTTTGTTAAATAATGATTAAAAATGGAAACAGGCAATACTTACAAATTTATTTAAGAAAGGAATACTTTTAACACAATGTAAAAAAGAAAAAAATTGAAATTCTTCATATTTATGTAATTATAATTGATTACAGACTCATTAAGTCAGAAAAAAATTACATTAACATTACATAACATTTAAAATACAATTCACAAATAATTTATTTTTAAATATAACTGAGTTTGAATTCCATAAAATTTTAAATGTTGTATTTTTAAAAAATTTCATAACAAGTAAAATAAGTTTGCAGTGTTCTCGATTATATTCTTGTTTAATAAAATCTACAATATATTTTTTTAAAACTTCTATAGTATATAAAAAAATCTGGAAATTTATTGAATAGTTACTAAAATTTTATCATATAACTAAAAAGTACAGTTTATCACTTGTGTATAACTTTTATTGTAAAACTGATAAAATTAATATCTGCACAATGACATTACTTTAAACTTTTAGTTCTTATTTCAGATTCATAATGATTATCTAAAAATAAATAAACAACATTAGTCTTTTATAAATTAACTTAGCTTTGATCTTAGATTATTTAACTCAACTAAAAAACAAAAAAGTCCATAGAAAAAATAATGTGTTTTCAAAATCAAATATTATCAAGCAAATGTTTTTAGAATTTTTAAAAATTGTTCTTTTCAATGAATGATCTAAAAATGAGATTTAGTCTCAAATATTTATAATTGTTTCTCAATAAAACTTTTTTATGTAGTGTTTAACTTACAATAAATTTATGGAGACAAAAAGATGATGTTTCATTTTAATTCAAGTATCTTTTGCATTCAATTTCCTGAATTTTTTTTTTTTTTATAAAAATTAAGAACATTCATTTTATCAAGATAAGAAAACTTAAATTTCTGCCAAATATTGATACGAGAATCATTTGCCATTAAGCTTTCTTAAGAACTTGTTTATTGTATAAAGAAATCTAATTGAGCAAATAATCAATTTAAATAATTTTACTCAAAACATTAGTATCCATTCAAATTTCTTATCTTAAATCAAGCAAACAGATATCCAATTAAAATAATTTTACTTCAAAACAGATGATTTAAATTGACATACCTATTAAAATTACAACTGTTCATATGAAATAAAGATATATTTGTTTTTTGATGACAGATAGTGTATTGTAATCTGATGAGAAATATCTATAAGATTTATAACAATTAAAAATTCACAAGTACTAATGAAATAAAATTTTTCTGTACATTTAAGAACATTTTACATTTAGATTTAAATTTACTATAAATATTAAAACTGTCATTCTTCTGTACAAGATTCCTTTTCAGTTTACCAGTTTTAAATAAGAAATTTCTATTATAATTTTAAATACATTCTATAATGTAAAATCTAATTTTACTCAATTTTATGAAAAAACCTATAAATGAAAAACTGTCATCAGATCTCTTTATGGGAAGTTAAGGCATGAAAAAAGTTTATTGGTCAAGTAAAATTAATACCTTATATACAGATGGCTACAAAGCTTCTTATACCACTGTATATGTGAAATATAAGCATTTTCCCTGTATGATAAGGAGTATCACAAATCATAACTTGGAGGGCTTTATATCATTTAGAGATGAAAGTACAAAACATTGCATGTGATCACAGTTATGATGCAATTATTTATATTGCAATATTTTTCTTCTTTCAATGGGACATAAGAAATAGTATATATATATAAATGTAACCATTTTATCTTCTTTCAAGAGTTTTCTTCCTGCCAACGTGCTGCCAGAAACCTACGGTAAATGATTGTAACATATATAGCTAATAGCAGAACAACAAACAAATCATCCAGTAGACCTAAAATGCCAAACACAGCTTCTGGTATCATATCTAATGGTGAGATCAAATACATGATAGCAGCAACAAAACAAAGGACAATTCTAAGACGGAACATGTACATTAATCCACCCACTGAAAAAAATTCTGAACCTAGATGACGTAACAGAGTTGGTAGATCCCAAACATAATCCAGCCACTATAAGATAATAAAAATTAAAATTTTATATAAATTCAAAGTAAAAAAAAGATACTTTTATTATTATAGTAAATAGATTTACTGGTCTAGGTTCTCCTGAGAATCTTCGATTATAATCATTCACATCCCAAAGAATTTGGTTTCTTTCTTCTCTCTCAGANTTGAATGGACGTAGCCATTAAAAAAATTCAATCTGATAAAATGTTCTTAGATCGATCTGCCTACTTTCTGTAAGAAAAATTCGTACATAGGAGGAACAATAGGGGAATTAAAAATATATATGATCTTCATTGGAAATAGAAATTACGTACAAAAGACCCAAGGATGGAAGGAAGAAGAAAAGACAAGAAGGGAAGAATAGACTATAAGTCTCTCACTTGTTACTCGTCCTTGTATCTCTATAGTGTACTGTACATAACATTGTAAACACTTCGTATTCTATATTTGACTTTATAAATATACCGGTTTTACATTCTGCAAAATGCAACAATGGAAACTTTGAATAAGAAAAGATGCATTAAAAATTAAATTAGGAAATTGAAAATATATAAAATTAAATAATAAAAACATATTTTAATAGAGTACAACAACGTATTTATTTCATTTCAAAGTAAAAGTTAAAAATAATTATTATAACTTGCAGGTAGTTTTTATTTTATAAAAAACTTCGTAATTGTAATCTGTTTTACTTTAGAAGTCATGCTTAGTTTTTGAAAACATTCTTCAATTCATCTCTTAAATTTTAGAATATTCGCTTGCAAGTTTGATCACTGTACAACAGGAACAGTATTGGAATCGTGTCAAATTTGATCCTCCAAGTTTTTTGAAAATCTCCATGTCTTGAGACCCCTGAATCCAAAAAGCGCTATATTAAGTAAACTTAGTTTGATATCTACAAGAAAAAAAAAAAAAATACAAAACCTGTTGTCTGCATACAGGACATCGAACTGCTCCTCTCCAATTTCCATGCCTCCAATAAAGAACTACACACTGTGCTAAAAAAATTTTTTTAAATTGCTTATAAAACATTCTTTTTATTTAATTTTATTTATAAATATATTCAACAACAATAAAACAGAATAAACACACATGCACAGATATCTACTAGCATTCTATTATAGAAAAAAAGTAATCATCACATTAATTTGTTTCATTGATTCCTATCATTAGGCCATTAGTACCTATACTTTTCAAGTGGTACACAAGATTAGTGTACATAATCAAGCTGTCAATAAATTATGTAATGTAGATGTGTGTGGTAGGTATGCAGATAACAGTTATGATCAGTTACAAGTGGCTGAAGTATTTATAAAAATGTTATGTAATACTAGGGTCCCAACCCTTGGGTAACAAATTATTCATTTTTGTTTCTGAACTCTTGTATAGTGAACCATGTTGTTTACTTCATTGTTTTGTATGCTATAATATGTAATTAATAAAATAATGTAATGTTCAGTACCCATGTTGTGTATGTATTACTTATCAGTACAATTAAGGATAGGTTGAAATTATGCTTTACATAATTATGAGGGTGAGTAGAGCAATAGAGTTATGGAGCATTATAGGAGATGAGATGGAGGTCAAAAAATATAATACATTATGTAATTTATGGACAATCCTATATACAAAAAGTAGGACTACTTCTCACTTGTAAGTGATATGTTTCCACTGGATTAAAGTGTGCTTTGGGCCAGGGTTTTGACACTGATCTAAACAATTAAAGCTATCAAACTTTTTGAAGGAGTCAATTAACTATGGTATTTTTAATTGATTAAGCAATAAGTATTAATTACTTTATATGTGAAACTATAAAAATATCAGGTTTGTTTGCTTATTAAATTTCAGTTATTGTTTTGAACTTAAATGCTTCATAAATAGTTCTTAGTTCTTAATTTCTAGCTAACATGTTTACTATTGAAAATTCCAGCACAATTCATCTAAAAGTTAGTCATTTAAAATAATGAAGAAAAACATTGGATATGATACCTAAGACTAACTGAGAATCTGAAAGTTAATAATTTAAATAACAATGCTTCCATTGCATGATGGAAGTTTTGTGGCCACAAATAGAAGAGAGACATTGCACTCAAACTATCACTTTCAGAGGAACTGAATGGCTTTCCTCTAGAGAAAAAGAAACTTTTTCTCTAGAGGAAAGCCATTCAGTTCTATTTGTGGGGATCACACAACTTCCGTCTTGCAAAAGAAACATGGTAGGATTTTCTAATAATCCTATTGGATGGAATTTTAGCATAAAAGGTGAGAAGTCACCTTCCAACATGCTCTTGCTCTTGTTAAGATACTTTTGCACAGGTTCATGACAATGCTTTAGCCAACATTCTCATCCCTTTCCCAGTTCTCTACTTTTAATCATTCTTATACAGAGACAAGTGAAGATTTAGGAAAAATTTAACTTGTGCCTAAATTAAAGAGAATCAATGCTCCATGTTGAATATACATGTACTGCAGGTAATATATAACTTTTGTAACTCTCTCTCATCAGAATAATATTTTTATTTGTTTTTATTCAGATGATCAAACTATGGAAAAGGGGCAATTATGATTAAGCCAATCATGCCGCTACAATAACAGGCAGTGACATTGGAAAGTTTCGCTTTGTAGCACCTGCACATGACTTAATTTGAAACAGTTTTTCCCTAGCTCCAGACGCACACAAGTCGAATTTTCCTGTTTAATACCGAAAAAAAAATTTTTTTTCCCCTCTTGGAAAAACCAAAATGGCGGCTGTCAGAAACGAAGAAGATAACGGTAGAAGCTCCGAAAGTTCTCCAAGGGAAGTTGGTGGTAACTCGAATCGAAGACCAAAGTGTTCTAGATGCAAAAATCATGGAAATGAAAAAGCAGTGAAAGGACACAAGCGTTATTGCCCATACCGGCACTGCGTTTGTAGCAAATGTACTTTAACTGTGGAAAGGCAAAGGGTTATGGCTAAACAAGTAGCCTTAAGGCGCGAACAAGCTCTGGACGAAGCTAGAGGGATAGCCATGGACGAGCAACCAGTAATTCCAACAGAACCGATTTCTTCGAACAGAGATAGCCCAGCTCTCGAAAATATCCCTTCCAACGAAGGTATGCCAATTGTTTCTTTATTAAACCGATCCTATAGTTCGTCGCTCTTCGTATTTAAGAATTATTTTATATTACGGTTACATTAGATTATATGAAATGTAAAAAGACGTTTAAATCTTCGAATTACAAAGAAAATAACTGTTTTATACCCTCAAAAGCCGTAAAAATACGTACTCACCATGTGTTTACTTTAAAGAAATACAAAACAAAAATCGTTTCCTTGATAATATCGAGGAAATATCCTGTTTCTCTCCATTATTTCTCCATTAAAATAAATTATGATATAGGTCTATGCATTCTGCCTCGCCGATAAGCTTGTTTTCCAGACACTTAACAACTTTCTATGATTTAATATAACCCGGATAAGAGAATTTATTACCATTTTAGGATCCGGCAACATTGACGCAACGTGATAAATTCTTTGTTCTCGTCTTTGGAAGAGATGTAAAGATATATTATCAATTATATTCGTCATTATTTTAATGATATTTAAATATCTTACACGCTCCAAGTAATTTATACAAAAACATTTTTTTTTTAAATCAGACTATAAAAGGCAAATGACCTACCTAATCGGAAATGGCCGATATTAAATAAAAAGTATAATTATTTATAACTTTTCGAATTGTTTAAATATAAGACCTAAATAAATACTTTTTTAGAAAACATTTTATTAATTTGTTTCAACTTTTAATATTTTATAAGGCCAGGAATTTTCATTTATTTTATATAAAAATCCCTTTTTACTGAATGTGGAATAAGTAAGGATACGTCAGAGGCAGACATTCTCACGCAGATTATGAAAAACGTTCCTTCCAAACCCGGAAGTTTTGGCACGTCTTAGAGAATTTTTATTTTTAAATTTTTATTTTATTTTAGCTTGAAAATTTTCGTAAACAAGTTCTAGATAGACAAGGTTAATTCGTCTGCGTGGTGAGAATGTTCGGGGTGGAAGGTGTGGTCATTCCTTTGATAGATTCGAACAGGTTGTTTACGTTGTCTACAGGGAAAGGAAGATAATGACCGTCTGACATTGGTGATTTCTGTCTGGGATTTTTACCTGGTTTACTTTATAGGGTTTCCCAAGGTCTGTTTAAATCGTTAAGCTTATGGACGGAAGGTGTTTTATGACGTAAAATATCTCGGTGTCTATTGTTTACAGACTATAAAAAATGTTGAATAAGAATTCTATAAAATAATTTTTAATTAAAAGTAGACATCTCGCTAGACTTTAGAAGCGAAACTTACTAGTTTTTACGAAATTCATATTAATAATTCTGTTTTCAAGTATCAGTATGCTTCGTCTTAATTTCCATGTTAATTTGATGCGCATATTAAATTATTACTGTGTAAATAAACAAGTTAAATATTTATTGAAAAAATGTACTAAACTGTATATAATATCTTTCAATTCAGTATTTTTTTATCAAAGTAAAATGTCAGTAATGTAATAATTTGTTTATAACTTGTATTTTCCTTGATTCGCTGGTATTTTCCTTATATTACGTTTAGGTGGAATATGTTCAAGCAATAGGAGACAAATACAGGAAGCCCTGCAGGCACTTCTGAATGCCTTCCAAGTTAATGACAATTCTCTGACACTATACTTCTACGCCATCCTTAAAGAGTGTAAATTTAACGTCAAGTTAGCATACAAAAAGTTAATCGAAGGTAAGAACCATCATCGATTCTTCTACCCCAATCGGGCCCTAACCATTTTTTTTAACACTACCGTAAACTAATTAAGCTGCCTCATTCGAAAACAATTTTTACTAATAAAGCACTAAAAATAAGTTTAATGTAACCTTGTTCGGAAGGCCGAACGCTTTAAACAAGTTTTAAATAACCACAAACGTCTGAAGGTCAGACAGATGATAACCTACATTAAGGACAGGTCCCGTCTGTTTACCTACCTATTTCAATGTCTAAGGAAGATAATAGTACACGGGTGTATTATTTTTCCACGACACATGCCGCCATGCACGTGATCACAGAAAAAAGTTTTCGTGTGATAAATGACCCTGTAAAATCATCTTCCCTCCGCAACAACAAAAAGCTGCGGCAAAGCAACTTTTTTATTCCCCTGTCACATCTTTAAAACACTTCCAATTAACCCGGGCGACGTGCTTACACTAATTTTATGTTTAAAATTGCTACCTAAACACACTCAATAAAACGTAACGTATCATTAAGTTACCCCAAGTAGCAATTTGCATGTTAAAATATTAATTTTATTTCCCATAATTTTTAAGCTACCCTTTTTATAATGTCATAAATTAAAACTTTTCTTCCAGCTCAAGCCGACATGAGGTTATACTCGCTGTGGGAACCAAATTATGGATCGGCAACATCCGGTGTCTACTGGTCACCCATCTTGCATCAGTGCCTCACTAATTCTTCCATACTTTATCCCAACGTTAGTCTCCCTCCATTCTATTCCTATCCTTTAAGTTCTAGTGCTCCTAGCGCTATATCAACGAGCCACGCCGGTCCTAGTTCTCATACGTCTCCACCCGAAGAGACCTTTCCTAGTGGATCTCATTATGCCAACGATGGGAATTATATCAGAGTAAGTGAAGCAGAAGAGATGCCAATACATAGTGATAATAGAAACAGAATGGATTCTCCTCCACTCAGGCCTTTTAATCCTATGATCGCTTTAAGTATGCAAATGGACAGGATGAGATTTCAACCGTATCCTCCTATGTAATATTTAAATAATTCTATTATCTTATTGGTTAATGTCGAATTTCGAAATGAAAAAACATTCTGCCATTGGCTAATTCATAAACTATCATCTAGCGCCATCTGGATAAAAAATATGGAATTAAAAAAAATGTATTTTAAAATAATTTTTACGTTTAATATAAATTAAATTAGCAATTTCTTAATGCAATTAGCATTATAATGCGAAATTTGAAATTTTTAAAAACACTGTAGGATAATATAAAATATTTTTGTATATATAATTTAAATACGAATATAAGCATTTATATATAAAAATAATTTTTACGTGTGAATTTCTTGAGAATATTTAAAATTTTATGCATATATTTTTGCATGAGAGAATTATATTTATGCATTAACAATTTTCGTAATTTCATACGAATGTTTTTTATATTCGTAATTAAATTATATCATTTTTAATTATTCTCTTTTTATTCATTTATTTTTTTAAAAAAATGCTTTCGCTCATTTATATATATATTGTAAATTGCCCAATATTGTTGTAAATAAACTCATTGATCTATACTGCTTCTAATTTAATATTGTGTGAGATATATAAATAAATTCTCTTTTTATAAATACTTTTATGTTATGAATTTGGAGGTACGTTCTGTAAAAATTAGTCAATAAATTCCAATTGAATTGCGCTGTTAAATCTCTCCTTATCTACATGAAAACGATTCCCTATAAATCTGTATTGTACATACTACAAATAGTGACGATTTTAAACAAATAGAACTCAGGCATTTGCGTAAGACCACATGCATTTAGGAAGCCCGATTCGTCACGGATCGATAACCTATTGTTTACTTCATCTGCTTGAATGATATAATCAGCACATACGAGTAAGCCCCTCGTTAAATAGTGGTTTATTTGATTTTTATTGCTTTAGCCACAAATTTCAATTCGCTTCGACTTGAAATAACTTTTAAAAATATCAGGTAGGCTACTGTGAGCGGCTTTCACTTACTAAAAGTAGTTTTAAGACATTGGAACTTTTACGAACGTGGTCAGATTTTTTATTACTATATTAAACACACGAATTATTCTCTGTAATTCGACATTCAAACGTCCTCCCTGACCCCGAGGATAGAAAACTGCACAAACAAATTCACTAGCATTAGTTTAATTAATGAAAAAAACAGCTTTCACTCCTAATTATAAACCTACAATTCGAAGGAATTTGATAAGAATTTCAACAATAAACTACGAATTAGTTTCGCTACTTCGTTAAGCCATACAGAAATTGTTTTCGTTAAAGTAATTTGACCTACTTTGTTCTTTTAGTAAGCTGCTCTCGACCAATACCAGGATGTTAAGGTCCTATAACGTTATTACATCCGATTATTGTTTATTAAACTGTCCAAAATACTTTTTATTATTAAAATATGGAATATGTGTGTGTGAGAAAGTACAAAATCCAGGAGTATCTGAGCAACTCTAATGTTTTTCTCACGAAACTTAGTGTGGATGATTAATATTTTCACGATAATTTCTTTATTGCTGACAAATTGCAATTTTACTATACACGAAATATAAAGAACACATCAATTACTTCGTTTAACGTAGTTTTTGGTAACTTCTAACTTTCGATGTCCGTTAGATTTTAGAATCGTACGAATTTATTTAAAATGGCGATTTTATTGCTCTATATCGCAATCATTTACAAGCATTCGAAGAGGAAACCATGCCAAAATTCCTGTGCAAAGTAAAGAAAATATTACACATTTTAAAGTTCGCTTATTTTTAAAACTAGGATTCCATTCTTCTTTATTTTTATAGCCGTGTCTCCGTATTGGAGAGTTCCTTACGTATGAAGTTGATTGTAATAATCATTTTAATCAAATATTGTAATAAATATACAATAACTATGCAAATGCAATTAACTTTTTTTTATATTAAATTAATTCAAAATTTAAAGTATCGATCGTGCGCTGAAGTATTGGAAGATAAGAGTGGCCGAGTGGATAAAACTAAAACACACTGGTAGTTGGTCGCGTGTTCGTTCCAGACAACGCACAGGCCACGTGGAGTTTTCCGGGTTTTCTACACTAGTGCATAACATCTAAAAAAAAGGATCCAGTTTACGTAGGAAGCACTCCCCTTTTGGCAGATTGCCCATGTGTTGCGTTGCTTTATTCCATTAATCAGTTCAATCCAATCGGTGGATATATTTCACTATATAGCATTTTTTTATATTTTTTTAACCTTTTTGAATATGAGAAAGCGTTTTTTAGAATTTATATATTAAAATGCTTAATTAGGTTCTAAAACTTATCTAAATAACTGGTATCTAAAACTTATCTAAATAAAATCAAGGCTGTAAAATTTGTAGTAAATTACTACAAATTTTACAGCCTTGTAAAGAAAATATAAAGTTGTAAATCGGGCTCTTTTTTATCATTTATTAAGAACTGTAGACAATTCTAAAATTTTAATAACGTTAACACTTAATAACGTTTAAAAGAGAATAATTATAATTAAACTTTAATCTGAAAGATTAAAACTTTATGTTTAAAAATACAGTATAACCAATATGTTAATAATTCACCATAGGATAATTATATAACTTCATTTGCAATTATTATTAATTTAGATATTCTGTGCGATAAAATAAATTATGAAAATTTGCTTATTTTTTAATTGTAACTCTATAAATTATACTTTAAACTATTGGCAATCAGTCAAGCAGGCAATTTTTTAAATTAATTGTATACTGTATATAGGCCTATATATACAATATATATATATACAATTAATTTAAAAAATTGCCTGCTTGACTGATTTCCAATAGTTTAAAGTATAATTTAAAATAAATCAGTAGCCTATATGTTGATTAACACTTAAAATATATTTTAAGTGTTAATCAACATATAGGCTACTGGTTTACAGTGTATTTTAAAGCTACGATGAGGTGGTTAGCTGTCGGGTTAAGTGTATTCTAACCCAATCACTAAAATTATTTATCCGTCATCCTATCCACAAGTTTCCAGAACGTGTTTTTGAATCCTGTCACACAAGGAGGTGTTTTGGCAGCCATTAAGATACTGCTAGTTATTAGTGTAGGTGTGCAATTTTTAGTTTTTCATTGGTGACATATACCTTATAAAACCAGTTCAGATAGATATTGTGCAGTTAGAGTGTTCTTTATAAATGGTTTTAAGCTGTATGCGATGTACACGAAAACAAGATGCTTGGATATTGTCCATGTATTCAACCGTAACAGTGACATTCATTTCCACGTGATGAAAAATTTAAGAAGAAAATGGGTAACCAGCCATGCATGTACCGTACATCCAGATAGTAAATAATTTTACCATCATAAGCCACCCAAGTGCATACAGAAAATGATTACATGCAGATAGGGTACATTTGTCTTAAGGACACAAGTGTTTTGTAACAGTTTATTAATTAATTAAAATTTCACCTGCTTTACCATTTGAAAAATAATTATACGAGTCAAGACTTTTATAATTAAGCATTTCTTGGTAATCATAGGCTTTACTTTTAATAAGATATAGTTCTGTAGTTCCGAAGTTCTTGCAGTATCTTAATGGTGACGCGAAGGTGGCGCTACAGTACGGGAAAATACGTGAACCTTCTCTAAAAACTTGTGGATAGATCTTCCCATGATGCCGGATTACTGATGGTTCAACCTGTAGTAATTTAGAATGCGAAGTGAAAAATTGTTTAATATTACAAGTATATTTTATAGTAGAAATTAATGAAAACTTTTCATGCAGGCAATTTATGTAAATTTTGTAATTTTTTAACATTTCCGAAACATAGGCAAAGTTAAAATTCCAACAGTGTAGACAAAAACCCGTTGGCCAAATAGGATAAGCACTTTTCTTATTGTTTTAGGCACAATAACGATCGGAAGTAATCATGCCGACACCCGAACAACGAGTGGAACTTGTTTCATTGTGTAGGAGTCAATCACAGAACAACACTGGAAGCTGCAAAGGAATTTCATCGTCATCCCACACCTTCCGGAGTCTTCGTATCAAGCTGTTGGCAACATCCGAAACTTAAGAAAACATTTCTGAATATAAACATTGGTCGGCATGATTACTTACAATGATTTTTTCACCTGAAATGATAACAACAGTGATTATCCCCATTTGTCAAGTAGATTTTTGGCCACCCTTTATATAGATATAGCTTATCATGAGGGCTACTCCACACACTAATGCATTTTATTGGGTTGCAATTTCAAAAAATTGTAGACCTATAGATTCCCTCTGTCGTTCGTTCGTCCGTCTTTCCTTGATATCGATAACGGAGTTAGAAAGATGAAAGAGGAGACCAGATATGGAAACTTTAGGGGTAGGAGGTCAATTCAAAACTGAGCGCAGTTAATAGATGATAGGCAGGACTCCATTGCTAACGGAAAAGTATGAAATACAGGGGCAAAACCCTGCAGCACTAATTTGAGGTGGAGATCATACATTTTTAAATAAAATAAATTAAAAACATAATTAAAAATTGCAGCCCGGCATTGTGACGATGTCACAATAAATAATTGCTCGTACTATTTTTACTAGATTGTTCTATACTATTTTACTATTGTATTTTATACTAAATTAGCTTATTGTTTTATACTATTTTACTATTGTATTTTATAATACATTATCTTATTGTATTATGTTGTAAAAGGCACCTAAGAGGAAATTGTCTCAGCATACTGTTTTGATTTATCGTGACTATAGCTTACGATAACTTTCAAGACTTTATAATATTTGCCTAGTATAGTAGTACAGGTTTTTGATAAAATTTCGTATAAAAACTACTCAACAGCTACTCCAACACATTTTTTTTAGTATTTTAACTATTAACGAAATGTACTCTTAGATGCAGAATTAATTACAGAGTTGGGCTGTTACAGGTTTTAAAAGTGCATGACAAAATATATATTCTTCGAAGATACGTTTGCTTATTTAAATTTTTTTCTCGTGAAGGATAAGATTGATGGAAATTTGCAACAAAAACTGTTATATAAAACGCAAATATAACCATTAGACTAACTTACTGCCTTTATCTATTATCTATAACTTTTTATCGATAATGAGAATGAGAGAGCGAACGTTTTCATCATTTTTTTACCTTCCTGAAGATCTCTAAAAATCTCTAAATCTGACAAACCCTCGCTTTGTTTATTGCAAATCTTACTTAATGCCAGAAAACATTTAGTATGTGCCTCCATAAGCGAATTTTTCTTTAATTTACAGAATTTTAAACATTTGAATTTAAGTCATATTC